CTGTAGAAGCATGAAAAAATCGATTATTTCCACTATCGATGGAAGTTGGGAAATGCAAAGTCGGTCTTGGCCTTCCTGCTAACTTGGAGCATGTGCATGTAAATTTTGGTGCAAATCCGTCGAAAATTGCGGCCGTGCATTCATTACACACACACACTCATCTTGCCTTTTATAGATAGAGATGTTTCCTGCTTTTAAACGAAAAGATATTTACATGTCTGATCTTCCTTAGTGAAAATCAACAATGATTTAAAATGATGAAAATGATAGCTTTGATGAAAGTTTAAAAATTCAAGCAACATTACACATAATCGTTGTTTATGTCTGTGGTTTTGGTTGAAACAGTGTGAGTGAACAAATGAGAATTAAATGAAACAAACAAAATTTTAAATGTTATTTTCCTCAGGACATTAGAAAGTGAAATGGACTGCATGTGGCCCAAGGGTCGCAGTTTGCCCATGTCTGGATAGCATAAGGCAGCTGTAATAAGAGAAAGTTGTTTCAATCTTCAAAGTGAACAGAGTTGTCATGTCTTGAAGATCTTGGCATTTACTTGGGCTCCATTATTGACACCTGAGAAATATAAACAGATCCAAGAAAAAGAAATCTATGTAATTGCAGGTTTTGCTTTTATCCCTATACCCTGCTTTGGTCGAAACATCAGTCTTGCTAAAATTTCTGTAACTCTTAATGAACTTGATGTTAATGCATACTCAAATAACATTAAGTAAAATGTAATACAAAAATAGAAAGGGGTGTAAGACAAGATTGTGTCTTCTCACCAGACTTATTCAACTTATACAGTGAAGCAGTTCTGAGAGAATTAAAAGTCCTACCAGGATTCATTATTGGCAGCCACAATCCTAACAACATAAGATATGCAGATGATACAGTATTGATAGCAGACACAGGAAGAAAACGGCAAGAAATCCTACAGAAGGTATTAAATGAAGACAAGAAGGAAGGAGTAAATATCAAATTGCAAGAAAATAGAATTAGAATAGTGTTGAAACTTGGATAAGCATGGAATAATAATACTACAACACAAAATGTATGTTAACAAAATGTATTGAAACAAGGAAAGGGTACACAATATTTACAGTTAGTTTTGGTATATTCTTGGGAAGACTGTTCCTGCATAATGGGTTGACTAAATCGCAGTCGGGCAGAGTCTCTGGATTGGATCTCTTCTTACTATCCTACTATCTTCCGGTACCAACCCATATTTATATGGTCGGTACTCCACTTATGTAAATTAGGTGTATCGTACACAACAAATAGTTGTTAGCAAAAGAATGAGCCTAACGTGGAAATTAAAAATTGGAGATATTGAAATCAAACAAGTACAACAATTTAAATATCTGGGAATTATTTTAACAGAGGACGGATGGTGAGACACTGAAATCTGAACATGCATTGACATATCAAAACCTAAGTATTAAGTAATAGAAAAATTTTGTTAGGAACAAAGAAAAGAGTACTGAACTGTCATATAACATCAGTCATCCTATATGGTAGTGAGTACTGGACAATCTCCTCACAAATGAAGTAAAGACTTGAAGCAACAGAAATGTCATTCTACAGAATAATGCTGAAGATACCATGTGTGCAATGATGGAGTTTTTGAGAAAATGGAAACAAAAAGGATACTTATACATAACATCAAGAAGAGACAGTTGAAATTACTAGAGCACGTAATGAGGAAAGAAGGCTTGGAAAATTTGATACTCACAGGACAAATTGAAGGCAAGTGGGTCAGAAGAAAACAATGCATAACCTACCTAGCATTGCTTGAGTAAATGGATGGCAGAACAAGGTTTAGGAGATATAAAAATGATGAAATTTACTAAAAGCTACAAATGATAGGAAATTGTGGAGAGCCATGATCGCCAATGTCCTGAAAGGACATGGCACATAGAAGATGAATAAAATATCATGTAAATTTGTTTCTAGCTTCTGTGATGAATTCTCTTATCAAATTAGGAGCACTTATCAGAGGCCATGTAAAAGTTCATTTTCTTTTACTGAGGACACCATAAATATATATTATGTTAAAGTTAGCTTAATCCAGAATATATTTTTTATTTAACCTTTATCACTCTGTATGAGACTTCATTCGTTGTGCAAAATCTTTATCCACCCACTGAAGATGACTCTGATTCCTGAATTTGAATTTGTTTTAATTTCATAGTTGTGTTGCCATATCCTGGTATGGCAACAGAAAACACTTTGAGTGAAATTAAAAAAGAATGTTGTGGAAAGGGAAGTAATATTAATAATGCAGAGAGCTAAAGGTTAATGAAAATATCATCCTTGTAGTTTCTAATCTAGAAAGACTGTATATATCGTTTCTTTTTTTAATAAAAGAGTTTTCTAAAATTTTGTCTGTATTGAATTTTGAAACACATCATACTAGTACAATGACATTTATTTTTTTCTGAAGTTATCTATTTTCATTTTTAAATTAATTTTTATTGTTAAACTTTGGGGAAACATTATGTATAAGGGGGTGCTGAAAAGTTCTTTACCTACACATTTCCCAAATTCTGATCAAATGATAAGACATCAGAAACATTTATGGAATCCTTCTTGGTCAGCTAAAAAACTTTCAGTACTTCTTAGTATACTGAACAAATGGTTAGAAATGAGTGTTAAAATTAATGGTTATATTTTATCTCAAGGAATAACATTTTTGGAGAATCTAATATTGAAAAGTGTGGATATAGATGAAATTATTAATGAAAAAAAAGAAAAGAAAAGAAACCAAATTTTTTTTTTAATTATCTTAGATGATAAAAAATCATGACTGGTACAGAAATGGCAGTAACGTTGGTCGTTGTCAGAAAGTTGACAATTTTGCAACCGTCAAGTAAATTTCCAGATGTTATATTTTTTATTTTAACCAAATTCCAATTTATATCATTAGAATCTATGAAAAATAATACCAGGTAAAATAGGAGGGGGCACTGAAAATTTATCACTTCAACCAAGAAGCCATTTGATTAAGAATATTTGGTCACCCTATTTCTATAATAATATTATGGTGAAACTATATATATATATATATATATATATATATATATATATATAAAAAAAATCTGTGGGTAAATAATCCAATTTTGGAGATTTGTATAATTTCTCATAATAATTTATTGTGTCTAAAACAAGAATCCCCAACAAATTGAAGAAAACACTGGATGACCATTTCATCCTTTTTAGGACTCATCATCACTGTGCATCCACTACCGAGAATTGAACCCAGACCATTAGGATACAATGCAAGCATCATACCAGTGGGCCTTGGTGACAAAGAGGAAACTAACTAGTTTCAATATAGCACAATTGTGTTTAGCATGAAACAGACTGTCACCTCTGGGTGTTGACTTCAATGTTCACTTTTATATTTACATACGCTCTATCCCTGATATTGAACACTTTAACCCATAAATATAACATACCTTAAAACTATGTATATATATATATGTTCAAGTAAAAACAAAATTAAATACATAAATTTATCAAAAAATATTTTAAAATATGTTATTAAATTAATTTATTTCATTTATAATTGAAGGACATTCATTATAAAGATAAATTCTTATTATATTATATTTATGTTACTGTAGTAAATACACAAATACAATATAGCAGTTTAAATATCACGTTTATCATTTCATATAAAAAAATTGTTCCTCATAACAATATATTTTCTCTGGTTCTTTCTTGTTATCTTGTTAATTGTATTTAATCTTTCATTAATACAAGAATTACTAGATTACTTAAAGGAAAGCTTTTTATTATTTCTGTGTAATTTTACAATGATGTCACCATATATATTTATAGATGATTAACTGATATGTTTTCCTGAGTATGAAATTGAGAACTATCATAAATAAAAAGGGTTAATTGCAAGATTTATTTTAAATAATAATAGGTTTTATTATTTTTAATTACTAGATTTATATGGATGTTATGCGATGCTGTAGACAATGCCCAGCATATTTCTACCTCCCAAGTTATTTCTTAGTGTATAAATACTATCAACACAAAATAATTTAATTAAAATCTTTTCCGGATTTTCTTTTGCAAGTCAGGTTAGGCTTAGGCCTGCTACTGGTAACATGTACAACCCAATAGAATCTGCCGCATGGATGGGTGGTTAGCATCTAAACCAGCTCCCCCAATAACTTTTCTGCTAGTGAGGAGCGTGGCATGCCACCTCACTGGATGAAAAACAAGAATTGTCAAAGGGCAGATGAGCTTCTTATGAGTGCCATCAGCCAACATTGTGTGTGTGTTTGTTTTGTATGTATATATATATATATATATATATATATAATATATATATATATATACATGGATATATATATATATACTCACATATATACTTTGAACTATCATGTTAGGAAGAGTGTCCGGGCTTGTAAAAAATCCTTTGTTCACCAGGACCCATCTCAACAAAAAACGTGTGTGTGTGTGTGTGTGTGTATATATATATATATATAGATAGATAGATAGATAGATAGATAGATAGATAGTTGACATGTGTCTGACCAACAAGTACAAATGGAATGAGGAAAGACTGATTGATTTGGTTTTTTGCTTGTTTTATTTTTTTTTTATGGCTTATCAACCTTATTTAAGCCCAGAAAATATTTTTAGATTCTAAGAATTTATTTTGAGATGATAATAATTTACTGATACAAGCCCTAATAATTAATCCATAGCTGGTAGGGAGTAGGTGTGCATTCATACCAAAATGAGGAAAGGTATCCTTTTTAATATATTAGTGTTTTTGATTACTTTTGAGAAGATTTTACAGGTGGACATATGCAGACATTTTATTACAGAGAAGAGAAATTACAAGTTTGAGCAAATAGCCACTAGGATATGTTGATCAAAAAAACAATTTCTTCTCAGGCAATACTGGGTCATACTGAGGGTCACAAAAAAAAAAAAAATGAAATATTGATTAGTACCTTTTTACTTGATTGATATCTTTATTTATTAGTAAATATATGTGTAGTTGCTGTCGGTGACACAAGCTGTGAATTGTTAGTGACTATCTGTGTTGTTGGAGCCATTTGCACTGTGCGAAACACTGGAGTATTTCCTGAAGTCATTTGTATTGTGTGGAAGATTTGGGTGATTGGGGTGCCCCCAACTGTTACCGTATGATGACCGACAGGTGAAACAATAGAGCCTGTGGCATGAAATACTCGGTTCTCTGTGATTTGAGTGTCTGCTGGAGTGGAACTAGTAGTGGCCAAGGTTCCATCTTGCAAGATTGTTATGTGCTGTGTCTGTTCTTGTGGATGGGGGTTTTGGTGATGGGGATGGTGTCCATGAGGCTGCTGTTCCTCTTCCTCACCTTCTTGACAATTGGTTTCTTCAATATTTGATGGCATATCTACCGAGGCTTCTTCAGTGGTTTGGAAATGTGGGACACAGCTTAGTTTTCGCCGACCTTTGGTCAATTTCTTATGCTTGAGCAAATGGTCATAACGAGCAAAGGCAAAGCCACAAATATTACACTGGTATGGTCGTTCCCCTGAATGAATACGTGCATGGACTTTCAGGTAAGACTTGCGTGAGAATGCTTTACCACACACCTCACAGTTAAAAGGGTTTACTCTGCCTTCTTGATGTACGAGCTTGTGTCGCTCCAAATTATCACGCCTGGAGAAAATTCTGCCACAAACCTGACAGCAAAATGAGAGTGAGCTAGACTGAGCTCGTTTTTGGTTTTTCTCTGGTAAGGGAACTGGTGTCATGACTGTCATGTCAAATGATTGCTGTGGGGGTTGGCTTTCAGCTTCCTCTTGCTTCCAGCAACAGTTTGTGGTCAGAGTACCATCTGTAATGATTTCCTGAGAGTGATCACCAGTATTGCAGCTACCACAGCAACCACCACAACCAACTACAACTGCATTGACCAATGACGATGATGAAGATGTTGGCAAAATCTGAATCATATGCTGTTCTTCTATGGTGGGAATCACAGCTGCTGCTGCTGCAGCAGCCTCAACAACATCACTATCTCTCTTGAAGTGTTGGGGAAGGGGTAGAGGTGGGGAATGTTGGTCTGACAGTTGAATGGTGCTTGTTACCATCTTCTTGCTTTCTTTGATCATGATTGGTGCTGTAGTGGTAGTAGTGTTCGCTGTAGTTAGAACCTGTGTTTCTTGGTGTGAGGGGTCAGTTTCATGTTCGTGATGAGTGAATATTTCTGCACTTTCAGAGTCACAGCATTGGAGCTGTTGTTGCTGTGATTCCTGTTGTTCTTCTGCTGCACATGCGATTAACTGAGTTGTTTGCTGCTGAGCCTGCAAAGTATTTACAGTGATCGTTGGAACACCCTCTACACAGGTGGTGTACATTTTCTCAACATGCTGCTTTCGACGGTGCCTTATCAAGTGGTCATCGCGAGCAAATGCACACCCACAAATTGTACATGCATATGGCTTCTCACCAGTGTGTGATCGTTTGTGAACCTTTAAGTAAGACTTGCGCGTGAAGCTCTTCTCGCAGATGTCACAGAAGTGCATTGGACGTTCCAGATGAGCTGCTTTGTGCCGTTCAAGATTGTCCTTCCGACTAAAAGTCTTGCCACACTCATCACAACGTGGATATTTCTTCATCATCTACAGTCAAAAAAGAGAAAAGAAACTAGTAAGAGCAAAATTGTGTATCACTTTAAAAATAAATGTTAAGTCTTGATTGATGCCATAATGAATGAGTGAGTTTTATTAAACTTTATCATAAAGTCAATTTTACTTAATTGGAATATAGTTTTTCTAAACATTCCTATTAACAATTATTTGATGAGGTTTCTATCCCCAATGTAAATGTTCATCTTTTATCATATAAATAACATTAAAATGAAGATGTTGCTGATATCTCGTCAAACCATGTCCAGGCCTGTACTCTGGAGAGAATACTCCAGCATTGCCTCACACCGACAACAAAACATGAGAAGTCATACTGTAGACACGATTTATACTGATAGCTAGAATGAGGAGAAACAAAGGCTTGCTACCAGGGAGAAGTGTGCTTGATGGAAAGTATACAATAAGGTGACATTGGGGGAGATTGTCTTCATATGCACTCATTGCAATTGAGACTGTCACTTCCATGTGGGCCTGTACAGTCATAAAAGATGCTGCACCTTCATCAGCAGCTGAGGCATGACTCTTTGGGCACAGATCCATGGTTTCTCAAGACTGATGGATGCCACACACATAGCTTATGTCAGTACAGTCAAACTAAAATCTCTGCATCACACCACCTTTTAAAATTTTTCATCAATGACAAAAATGAAAGAGAAAATCAAAATAGAGTAGCAAAACAAAAAATGAATAAAAATAATGAAACAGAAGAGAATATAAAAATATATAACTAAAATTTTTGTTCAACTAAATGACATTTGGGAATCAAAACGGCTATTTTATTTATTTTTGCTTCTTTTTTAGACAAAAAACAAAAAAACAAATCAATGTTAAAATAAAAAAAGGAAATAAAATTCAATCAAGGCAACTTAACCTTATTTAGAAGACAGCATTGGCCTGGACTCATAATAAATGTAAAGCTGATATAGTTACATATAGAATCTTTTTTCTTCTTCTGAATATAAGAATTTGATACCAACAGCAGACATAAAAATAATTGAGGCATACAAGAACAAATATCACAGAAAAAAATATTAGAACCTCATACAGCAAACAGAAACCAAATTAGTATATATGGAAGTGCTACTCACACTTTTGGGGAATTTGAACCAGATTGCTTAATTTGTTCATCTGTCAAAGTACTCAGCATTTCCAATGTCTTGCCAAACATTTCACTAGAAAATAAAGTATCTAATTTTCTAGAAGATTTTTCTTTTGTTGAGGACGCCATGTCATGCCTTATGTTCCCTGTACTTTTGGGTAGCACTTTATAAAAATAAAAAAGTTAATGTGACATAGGCAAATAAAAATAATACAGTTTAGTCATTGACAATCTGGCACTAATTTTCTATAAGAGTAATTTCAGATTTCCTGGGTCACTGCATGGACCTGCCACAACTGTTTGGTGGGTGCTAGCTGTTGTATCAGCTGTTTTTTTTTTTTTTTTTCAGCACTTGCATTTCTTTATTTTACCTGTGTTTCATTTACATTTTAATTTATTTTCATTTATTCCCCCACACACTTTAACCAACATGCACGGATTTATAGGATATTTTAAAGGTAGGATCAAGTGGTTTGCTGTTGGGATAAATATATTCTAATGTAACCATCAGTAATCCAGAAAGATCATTTATCTGATACTCTACAGCAGGGGTTCTCAACCAGTGGCGAATTTCCCCCTACTGCAGAATTTCAGGGTTTCAAGAGGAAATTGGGGCCACAGATTGGTAGACTCAAATGTTAATTTTCAAACTCCCCAAGGTAGCACAAATGGCAATGTGCATCAATCCATGCAACTGAGAGGTCAGGCTGGGGTTTTTTTTTTTGCCACTACAAAAATAATCTATGTAAATGTATACATACTAATAGGGCAAAGAATGAAGATTTTCAATAATATATGCATATTATTTGGAATGCACCTTTTGAGTTGAACAATCTTGGAAAGTAGGAGGGAATGACATCCTAACATGGTGAGAAAAGGATGCATCAGGTTGAGAACCACTATAGGTTTTAACAATACTGGATTAGCAATGTCAGCCTGTATATGGTTTGTCGTGCATGTAAAGTATCAATCAAATGTATAATTTAAAGAATATCAGATGATGATAGAGAAAAATATTGCAAGATGAAACACCCATGATGTAGTATATGGAACAATTGCAATACATTAACCTCATCAGTCCCATGACTGGGTGTGGTCATAGGGTCACTGAGCAGCTGACCAGCTCCTTCCATATGTCTTGGTTGCAATTGAGGTACAGGTTAGTTGAAGTGCCTAAAAATAGTGCAGTATAACAAGACTTGAATGAAATTTAATATCACACTATGAATCTAAGAGCAGTTATGAAATGCTTCATTTAAAAAATTGTATTCACTGACAAAAAGTATTAGAATACTAAAACAAAAATACTGAAAGAAACTTAATTTTAAAAAGGTGCTGCTTGTTTAGTGAATATTTTGTATCAATTAATACACTCCATTCTTATTCACCTTTGTGTCACTTGTTTATTTCTTCCATTGAACTGTAATATGTGACATGGAAAGCATGGATTGAATAAAGGGTTGTGTTCAAAATTCTAAGAGAGTTACTTAGTATGAAGATGGAAATCTGAAGAAGGCCAGCAAGTACAATGGCTGAAATGTTGTGAGTACAACAACCATGCCAGTTCAAATAGCAAAGCCTATAATAGTGATTCTTAATCTCAAAAATCCTGTCAAAAAACATGCTATTCTATGAGGTTCCTTATGCTTTAAGACCTCATTGTGTAGTCAAATGCATTATATACTAAATTGCAAAGTCCAATGCATTATATACTCAATTGTATAATCAAATGCATTATATACCCAATTCCAAAGTCCAATGCATTATATACTCAATTGTATAATCAAATGTATTGTATACCCAATTATGTAGTCAAATTCATTATATACCCAATTGTATAATCAAATGCATTATATACCCAACAGCACAGTCCAATACATTATATACCCAGGAACTTAGTATACTCATATAAAGTAAAATGTTGTATTGATCCCTCTATATGCTAAATACAGACATGAAGTTGTTGCATACTCTTTATCAGATAAATCAATTAATTTCTCATCAAGAACTTGATGAACTATTTGTCATAAATGCAAAGTCAATAATTCACTTTGCTCCCTAATAGTATGCCATAGTAATCAGTATTTGATAAACAAAAATATTTTAATGCTTATTTATATATAATGAACATTAAACTTTATACAATTTTTATTAAAAAAAAATGCAACCAAACAATGCCAATCTCTTTATTTTTTCAGTTTTATTTCAATTCTTAAACTTAGGACTTTAGCAGTAATTTCCTCATTATTAGAATTTTGAATCTATATAGATCAGCATTGTTCTCTCAGTTAATTTCTGTCTTTTACTATCTTTTTCTTTTGTTTAACTAGCTGTGGTTACAAAAGCAAAATGTCATTAATTCCAATTCTGAATCATGAATCATCTTGTTTTTCTGGATTTAGAAATTTCCTGTTTTACATTTATTGCAATTAAAATATGGCAGTGAATGTTGGACAATTTTCCTCATGGAAGAGACTTTGGAAAAACAGAAATATGATTCTATAGATGGATGCTGAGAATACTATGGACAGAAAATGTGAGCAACAAGAAAATTTTAAGGAAAAAGGAAACAAAAAGACATTTATACTTAGAATCAGAAAGAGAGTTGAAACTTCTGAAACACATAATGAGGAAAGAGGGTCTGGAGAATTTGACAATAACAGGACCTACTGAAGGCAAGAGGAACAGAGAGAGACAGCAAGTAACCTATTTTATGAGTTTGTGTAAATGAATGGCAGAACAGGGAAGGGGAGGCATAGTAAGAAGACAAACATTACTCATAACTACAAATAATAGGAAGTTTTGGAGAGCTATGTCCATGACATGAAGGGACATGGCACATAAGACAAGGTTCATCTTCTCAAAATAAATCTGTTGCACTTTTTGGGCAAAGATACTTTTATGATTAAAAACAGTTTGATAGTGAGGAAAATATGAAAGACAAAATCTGATAAGGTGAACAATCCCAAACATCTTTGCTATTCATACTTGCATGTTTATCTTTGTTGTTATATTCACAGCATTTTAGCTGTTGTACCTTTTGGAATTTTTCTGTTTTCATACTTGGTAATTTTGAGCTAAAATCATTACTTAATCAAACATTTCAAATTCACTACTACCATCAAGTGAGTGCCACCATTAGATTTTATACTCCTAACAGAGGTGGCTGTTCTGAGAATCCTGAAAGCTGATGTGTTGAGATGGAAAATGAGATAGGTACATCCATGCCCCCACCCAACTCAAATATCACAAGGGAGGTCAAAATAGCTTTCAGACATCTGCAGAGTGACACCAAGATGCCCATAATATAATCAGACAAGGGTAATGCAATGGTTGTGGTGGAAAAGATGGAATAGTTTTAAAAATTAGCTAATCTAGTTGTGGGGTGCAGGATGAATCATCACTGCCAACTCAGCAACATGCAAACTATGAATTTTTTTGTTGACTTTTTAAAAACAAATAAAAGTAATTTCCTTTTGCATTTAATTGTTTGGCTCATAGCTGAAGCATCTGACAATGATCCCAGTGTAACCTGAGATACATTTGTTAATACTTCACTTATTACTGCACTTGGCTTTTCAACCATGTCTTTGGCACATTGTTTCAAGGC